GCCCTTGGCCTATGACGCTCACTACTCATCCTGGTAAACGGACGACAAAGGAGAACCGAAATGGACAAAAGATTTTGTACACTGATTTTGTGATAACGAGTAATATAGTTTTGTAGAAAAATTAGCTTACAACGTCATTGACTTTGAGTTCAGCGATTTGTTAAATAAACTATTTAACAAAGGATTAGACGCTCTTTTTAACTGCGAGTTTTCGGATATTAAATCTATCTTTAGGTACTTGGTTAAACAGCGCTGTTAATTTTTGAGCTATATGTAGTATATTTGCCGAATCATGCTTACTATTCCAATCTGATTTTGTTGTGTGAGTAGTGCAGGTTTAATATCAGGACCTTCGTTCATAAAACCGTTGCGCTAAGCGCAATACTATTGTACTATTTAGTCTAACTAGACTAGACTATGCCTTTCATCACGTTTCACTTTGCAGTCACCACAGCTGAGTCACTTTTGTGGACGACTGCCATTTAGTGGTTCAGGTTTTCGAATCTTTGCCGAGGTTAAATTTTAAAATTAAAAGCATATGTTTTTTTCATAAGTGTTATTTTCATAAGTGGCCTAATCTCATTTAGTATACCGCTACAAAAACGGTGTAGGATATCAATGAAATTCTTTATTCCTGTAAAGTATGGAATCAAAGGTACTATATATGTATGGAAATCGATTTTACTTGCATGGCCAACACGGTCACGCTTGCAGAACTCCAGACGCTTAACCGAATTTTCGACGGTTTTCAACATTAATTGGTCGATGCTGCTACAATTTCACGTTCGATACGTGATACGTGGCATAGACTTGACGTAGCCCCATAGTAAATAATTTAACGGCGTCTTGGTTTGCAAGAAATCGATTGTGACATTCGCTGGGTAGGCTGTGGCGCTGTCCAGTTGGATCCACATATTGCTCCATATCATCTAATTCGGACTAAAAATATTCGGCTATCATTAAGCCGTAGAGATTCCTATTCACTGTAACGTGCCGGTCTTGATCATCACGGAAGAAGTACGGACTTATGAGTTTTGGATGAATATCCAGATCATTTGGATGTTGTTACTCAGCCCAATTCACGAACATAGGACGATTCTGGTGGTCAAGCGGCTTCAGTTCTTGGCTCGAGTTGAACTTGTAAGGATGAATTTTCAAAAAATTTGCCACAGCGACATCACAAAGAACCTCAAAACTTTGGAACGATACGTGAGAGACTGATTTGGGTCTTCCTCAATTAATATGTAGGCACATCTTTGTCTCAATGGCACGGGACCATTTTGTACTGTGCCCGTGGATCCAAATTTTTCCACTAAACACTCAATTGTTGACCGGAGGGGACGATTAAGTTGACCATAAGTTGGACGTTGCGTTCTTAAAGTTGAGACCACTGACTCCGAATTTTGGTGCTAAATTTTAGTAATTTCGACTCGCTGTTGGGTTGTATCTCTTCCGTCAATATAATGGCAACATACTCAAGGGAAAAATCTAAAGAGCGGGGAAAAAATAGCGTTGTTTGCTATCCCTATTGGTCTACTTTTGTAGTGCCACTATTGAAAGCCCCGTTACTATACATTCATGGTTAGATGCCAATGGATGCTAAATACCATTTGTTGGCTATTTGCTGTGAGTATAATTTTGATTTGCCTTCGGAGATGTGCAATTAAATACCAAGCGAGAAGAGGATGTCGTTCAAATTATTTATGTTACTATATTCGAAAGATTAGATAGACTGATCTACCTTTCGAAAGCTATAGGATGTCTGTAAACACCACACTACAAGCGTCTACATAGAGATAATGAATACATATAGTTTGTCACGAAGTTTGTAACATTCAGAAGGAAGGGTCGGATACCCTATAAAGTATGTATACAAATGATCAGTATGTCGAGCTGAGTCGATTTAGCCATGTCCGTCTGTCTGTATATCTGTCCCTCAGTTTTTAATTTGCTTTGAAACTTTGCAAACGTCATTTTCTCTTCAAGAAGCTGCTCATTTGTCGGAACTGCACATATCGGATCACTATAACATATAGCTTCCATACAGACTGAATGATCGGAATCAAGTTCTTGTATGGAAAACTTTCGCATTTGACGTGGTATCTTCACGAAATTTGGCATGGATTACTGCTTAAGGTAACAATATAATCTTCGAAAAAATTATTCAGATCGGATAATTATATAATAGTATATAGCTTCCATACAAACTGAACACATAGTTATTAAGAGAAATGCTTCTATGAAGGGTATTTAGCTTCGGTGCAACCGAAGTTAATGTTTTTTCTTGTTTTATTTAAAGGCTGAAGACTACCAGCCGTGCGTGAATAGTTCGTAGAATTCTGCCGTTTTCTCACTTCCGACAGTTGTATTAGAATATCGTTTGTTGATATTGATCATAATTTTTCCATACGCATGCGATTACAATACTTGACTTTAGTTGGCATACCTTCCAAAAGTTGCTTATGCACTTTTAGGTTAGGCAGGCTGGGAACTGAAATTTATGATTTATCTCAGCCGCTGTGTTTTTGTCGCCACGTTGATTGAGCACTTTATATCCTACGTTAACTTTTGCCAGTATTAAATTTTTTGTTATTAATAATAATGATAAAAGTTTCAGCTTTCTGATAAAACACACAAGTTGAAGCTTTATATGCTTTATTCACTTTTAATCACGGTCTCAACATTAACATCTACATACTTCGAATTCGATCACATTTTCAACGTAGCTTTAACTTTATCTTAATTTACACGAAATTAACACTTTGTCTTCACTAGGCTCAATCATTTATTTCTTCAGTGCCCAGGCATCCCAATCCTCATAAGCAGTACTTGGCTTCCAGCCGGAGCTCCAGCCGCCATAAACACTCTTCAAACTGGGCGAGCTCCAGCCATCGTACAAACCGGCGTAAGCTGATGGATACACAGGTCCATAGGAGACAGCCGGCCAGGCTACGCTTGTGCTGGGCGCATAAGTCTTAATCACAGGTGAATACGATTTCACAACGGGCGTGTACGTCTTAATTATGGGCGTATGCTCCACTATGGGACGCAGGTAGGGACGCTTCTCATGCACAATGGTTTGACTCTGATGTGAAACTGCGGCGGGCAGTGAGTGCACGGTATGTCCGACCACGGTGGGCGTATACTCCACATGCTCAGCTACAGTTGGTAGATACTTCAGACTTGGACGCGCCTGGATCGCGGCGATGGAAAGGACGAAGACGAGTAGCAACGACTAATGGCGAAAGAAATATTGTTTAGCACAAATTGAAGTAACCTTATTTGCAAAACTTACTAGTTGACACATATTGCTATACTGTGTTATTGAGATGTTATAGTTGCAATGATGTCAATGCGGTAGCTGCCAGAAAACTATGCCAAACTTGGAAATTGTCTGCTATTTTATATCACCGACCAGCATAATTCAGTTTTAATGCTGTGGAAACTATTTTTTACACTTGTTGCTGTTTTTTATAAGAAGTTTTGAGATGGTTTTCATGCAGTACTCAATATCCGAAACACAATGGAACTATAATTTAAGAAAATGCGTAAAGTAAACCAAAAGTACGTGGAAATAGCGCGTCAAGACGGCAATGTGCACTGAAGAAGAACGACTCCATGCCAACTCCCACAATTTAGTGGCGCGGTTGTAGGTCAGCAATATAACTGACCAAGTTAACAAATTATTTGCTGTAAAGACAAACGCTAGCAAGCTTTGAACTGAGACGCTGCGGTGCGGTGCGGTGCGGCCGACAGTGGCCACTTAACACTTCGAGGCGGAAAATATCGTAAATGAGCAACCTTCTGTCAAATTTTTAGCAACATTAATTTGAATTATTATTGCTATGTTGAAAATATTATGCTTGCTATAATGAAATAAATGTGCTTGAGCATTGTTATGGCTATAGTTAGTTTTTATAATTAAGAATGTGGTGATCGTTATCGTGAACGTCTATCTCTTCCGTAGCCCAAAAATTATATACTACTTCTTCCAAATCAATTCCAACCCTTTCAAATTAATTTCCTTCCTATAAAGCACTTCATTTTCAAAGCCTTTTCCAGTCATCGATTCAGTAGGAATAGCCCTTCTTCGGTATAGACCTTCTTTGATTCGACTTATATCTCCCCAATCGTATCGGAAAAGCTCTCCAACATTAGCCTTCTGAGTTTACAAAATAGTTAAGTCGTTCGGAGCCTATTCAGGCGAATACGATGGCTGTGGAACGATATGTGTTGAGTTTTTGGCAAAAAAATCGCGCAGAATAATGCTTTATAATATGGCGCATTTGAGCAATTTTGCCATCAATCGAGACTTTGATGAGTTTGAGACAAAAAGCAATAATCAAAATGATTTCGGCAGAGCCATGTGATATTCCAAGACTATCAGCGATCCCTGTAATTGCCAATCGACCATTTTCAAGTACCAAATCTTTGATTTTTTGAACGTGGCCCTCGACGGCAGGATTAATAGTGGTAAAGAGTGTAGTTTGTTATTAACGCGTCCTCCCACTTCCACTGGCTCGAATAAATTCCAGTCGAGAGGACCAATTTTCAATCACTTTTGCAGCAGTTGGGGGCGTATGTCAGCTATAAAGCGTCGAATACTCTTTTCCAAAACGTCTTCCAAAGGTGTTCACATAAGTCAGGTATGAAAAAGTCATTAATCACGCTTATATTCCGGCGTTAGGATTGGTGAAATATGGACCAATGATTCCCTTTGCACACTAAACAGTAACTTTTTGAGGTTGTACCCATTCAACCATTCGCCGATGTGATCATATGCTCTGGAGTAAGCTTTTTATAAACTTATAAACCAAACTAAGGGTGTAATCAAAAAAAGAGATGTAAAAAAGCTAATTCAGAAGAAATATTAGCTCTGTGCGCTCTACAGCCGGTTCATATATTCAAGATATTTCGCTATTCTTAGTATAAAATTACAGGGGTATTTAGAGGTTTTGAGACCTATTTCCAGGTAAAAGATCGATACATAGATTGTTTTTAGCAGGCGTCGGACATACATACATACATGAGAAACTGCTTATAAAAAACATCTAAATAAACGCAGCATTGCTGCGTTCTCTAACGATGAAACACTTAACAAATACCTGAGAACACTATCAGTTTACACTGACAAAAATTGAATTTTATAAGTTACTACTTGAAAAAAAAAAAACAAAAAAAAAAAAAATCTTGTTTACATGTTGGCTGCGGCTACGCTTCAGATGGTCCCTCCGTTGAGTCCAATTTTCGATGACTCGTTCGAGCATTTCGATTGGTAACTGACGAATGATATTCGTGATGTCACAGGAAAAAGTCTAACGGTGTGATCTCACACGATCTTGATGGCCAATCGACCGACCGAAGACGAAAAAGTATCTGCTCATCGAAGTGTTCTCTAAATAAATTCATTGATTGATGCGATGTGTGGAAAGTGGTGCCATGTTTTTGAAAACAAATGTCGTCGAGATCACTAGCTTCAATTTGAGGCAGAAAATAGTCGGTTATCATGGACTATTGGCGGTTACGTTCTCACCGGCATCATTTTTGATGAAGAATGGACCGATGATTCCACTTGTGGGCCGGTTGTTTTTTCTGAATGAAATGTCAGACCTTGAATCTATTCAAGTTGCTTTTGGTCCCAAATGCGGCAATTTTGCTTGTTTACATACTCATAGAGTATGAACAATGAGAATGAGGCCGAAATAGGCCTCATCGCTGAACAAAATTTGGCTCGAAAATGTCGGATGTTGAAGCGATGTCGCTTGGGAAGGTCGAGAATTTTCAAAAACGTTGCAATTTATAAAACGGCTTCGAGTTAGCAGTTAGTAAGACTACAAGTAATAATATAATCAGAAAATATATTTTTTAGCTCATATCAGTCTGTCTCCTATCGAAGTTGCTAAGCTTGTGTGCATAAAAAAAAGCTTAAAAGTAAAGATAAAATTGTTATGAGTTTTAACGACTATTTAATTTGGTTTTTTATTTAATACATTTACATTTTATTTAATACATTTTTAATTTATGTTTTATACTCATTGCAGCTCCAGTCGTGCAAGTTGAATAAATTTTATAAATAATACCAATTCTTTGTTGCGCTTTATTAAGCGCCAAATGTTCTTAATCGATTTTTTGTTTTCTGCACACGAGTATTTATACACATACATACTCGTATATGTAGATATGTTTATAAATGCAACCAATAACATTATCCAGAACGAATTATTTTCGATTTCTTGAAAGTTAGTTAATGCGTGATTAATGATACTGTTTTTATATGAATTCGCAGCATTAACATTAAACCAAATAGGTATATAAAGCCTTGAACTTAAAGAACTGCTTAGAACAACGGTTATGGTGGGAGCTTGGTAAAAGAATCAACAAAATTTGTACGAGACATTTTGCACACACTGTATGTCTATATATAGCCGCATATGTGTCTATTTTTGGAAATGTTCGCACGGCATCATTGAACTCCAGCAACGTATAAATCACTTTTCATTCTTCCTTATTTCCCTTGCTGTAGCAATTTCCAGCAATATATCTCCCCCCACTCATCGCTTAGCTGTTAAACTCCGAGTCATGTTAGCTCTGTTGTTTTCATGTGAATAAATCAAAGCAGATTTGGTAACAGAGCGCAATTTTATGAGAGAAAATTAGCATAAACAGATGTTTTTATGCAGAAGCCTCTTGCTTCGATGCCTACACATACTTACTATACAATTATATATGCTTATGCTAATCTGTTTGTCCATATGTATCAGTGATGATATGAATATTATTACATGCAAGCATTAGGGTCAGTCGCTCTAATATTTCCAAATAATTACTTTATATCTTACTTACCTTAACAAAAAAAAAAAAAAAAAAAAAAAAAAAAAAAAAAAAAAAAAAAAAAAAAAAAAAAAAAAAAAAAAAAAAAAAAAAAGTTTTCCATACAAGCACCTTATTTCGATCGCGCAGTTTAGGTGGTCTGATCTCAACAATTTCTTCGGATATTATATCATTGCCTTGGATAATATTTCACGACCAATTGGGTAAAGATATCAAGATATAAAACATTTTTCCTTACTAGAGCATGATTTGGATTGTTCTGTTTGTGTGGCAGCTAGTATATGCTATAGTGGTCCGATTTCTGTGGTTCCGACAAATGAGTAGGTTCTTGGGGGAAAAACGCACACAAAATTTTAGAGCGATATCTCTGAGGGACAAGTTTGCATATAATACGAATTGCTATGACCAAAATGAAACAAAAAATTCTAAATCAAATACTCTTCACATAAACATTGTCTACTAAATAAGTGCTTCGATATTCTTGCTATTATTGCAACCTAGTAAATTTAATGTAGATTAAAATCCTACTTTTTTGTTTGTTTCAGATACCAAGAATTCGGCATTAAAAGGTGTAAAGGAACTTATACGGCCAGTGCGGAGGAGAGAGCTGCGACACTCCTGCGTTCGCATTTCCCGGACTCTATTAAGGAAGACCAGTGCCTGCCTGTCGTCGAATTTAAGCCATCTCGCCTAGATTGGGTAGTCGCAAGACAACTGTTTACTGCGGACTCAGTAAGGTGGGCTACACCTTTGTTCTCAAAATTCACGTACCCTGGGGTGAACGGCATCTCTTAAGCATATCTGCAACAGGGAGAGCAGATTCTACCACCCTACCTGGTTCAGCTGAAGAGAGATAGCCTGGCCCTGAACCATGGAGGACAGCGGAGGTGATCTTTATAGCGATAGTAGGAAGGAAACTGGCTGAAAAATATCGAGAGCTACGAAATAAGGTCGAAGATGCTGATAAGGTCACGCTTAAATGCCAACTAGCATACTTACAAAGCAGGCAGATCGACCAATATTGCTCTGAACCAGCTAATCTAATTCCAAATTCACCGAAATTTCACTATATAATAGCCGCAGCAGCAGTTCTAAACAACGAAAGGTGTTATTTAGTCCCACCCTAATGTCAATGATGACTATGCTTTAGTTAATTACTGATTTGATTAAGCAGCTGTTTGTGTCGACCAAGCGTTTAGACCACTTCCTTCTAGCGAACCAATGTAACTAAACAAACTACAACAAATTTAAAAAATACCAGCTTAATTATATCATTAAGGAAAAAACTGTCTGTATTTATAGAACCTCATAAACTTACATTAATTAAATATAGATTATATCGAATAAGAACACACTCAAATTGTATATACATGTATTTTAATTAAGTTGTGTATAATCAGCGCTAATTTGATAACTAATTGTCGACAAATTTTTTACCTCTTCAGACACATTTACTAATTGTGTATGCACAGGCCGCGCCTCTCACCACCTTATTTACCAACGACCTTCAACCTTAAAATTTAATCATTACACTCTCTTTGTTTAATATATTTACATACATATGTATATACAAG